GACCCCGCAGGCTGCGATGAGGTGGTGTAGAGGTTCATGGGACCAGACCCTCCATAGGGATCTGAAGTGTATGAAGAGCCTGGATAAGCATTGGCAGGATTAGGCAACCTTACATACAGATTTGCAGAACCTGAACCCGAGTAAGTGTTAATAGCATTTGACTGAGGGTTGTTAGGGAGAGTACGCTGTGGATGCTGCTGCTGTTGTTGTGTCGCTGGTCCTGAAAGACGTAAAAGATCTGTAGATGTGAAAAGAAAAGAACAAGCTTTTTTCTTTTTTTAAAATGCAAACTTTATACACTCTTTTCGATAAATATAACTGATATTTTTAAGGAAAGGGTATCATATGATACATCAAATACCATGCCCTGAGAATCTGAAAAATTACCAAGGCTACTCTTCTTTTCTGGAATGCATCCAGTGAGATCAGTTGCTAATTGAAATGGGGAAAAGAGGACTGTGCAATCTGTTCAGAGTCATAAGCACAAAGTCTAAAGAGTTGAGTCATCACTTAAGTAGTGCGTGAAATGCAGCATCAAAGTGCTCACAAATAGCCATGCACAAGGTGACCTTCTTTTCCCCAAGAATAAATAAATAAATTATTCTACATCTGCATTAACAGAGCTGTCTCAAAAATACGTCTCCAGCTTTATGTAAAAAACAACAATGGTGACATTCACTGACAGTGATAACAGTTCAGTAACAGTGAGATTAACTGAAGACACAAGGAAAAATACATCATTCATTCAAGTGCAATGGGATAATTTAATGGTTAAAACCCTGGCCTGGGTCATAGGGCAGCTGACTTCTATTCATAGGTATCTCAGTGACTTTCTGGATAGCCTTGCATTTATCTCTTTATTCCTCTTGGTGGAATTTACTGTGATAATAGTCATGAACACCTCTGCCCAGGATTCTAAAATCTAGTGATGAGAACTGCCAGCGATTGTTAAGTGTGTTTTGTCCACTACGAAAACACCCACTCTGCTTTTTAGTCTCAAAGCAAAGTATATAAATATTGGTAAAGAGGTTAGGTTAGTCTAGAATCCACTGCAATTATGAGGTTCTCTTTAACAGCAGCAACAGTGAGTAGCGTAAATTGTTCTTTGGCACTAACATCACACACTTCTCTTCATGGCTTCTAGCACCAGTAGTTGTTTAAAGGTGCTTTGCAATATACTGGATGGCAAGGAACGTTTGCTGAAGCATGTGACCTCTACAGGGATTAGCTATTCAACAGTAAAGGATTTTTGGTGTGTCTTTTTTTTTTTTTTTTTTCTTTCTTTCGTTCTTTCTTTCTCCAGAGTTTTGGCATTCTAGCATTTATAAATATACAACATGGATATTTACATTCAAGAATTTTATTCAAGAATCGCTTTTTATTTAAAGTGTTCACGTGCTGAGAACAAATACTTTTCTTGAGGTTCACTGTAAATGACTGTAATTTCTAGGAAGCTTACCACTTACCACATGAACAGGTTCACATGCTTACCTGCTAGCTGCTTTGCATGACCCGCTGCCTCAGAGTTGCCTTGTTTGTTGCGTGCTGCAGCAGACTTGTCTCTTTCAGCTTTGCTAGACCCATTCTCCAAGGAGGAAAGCTTTTCTGCAGCTGCTTTCTTTGCTTCTAGCTTCCTTTGCCGGCACGTCTTAACCGGCTCTGCTAACATCCTTACTTTCCGACGAAAGGAGGTAAGGACCTGGATGCTGCCATTCCTCTTCTTCTCCTCCTGGCCTTCAGTGCTTCCAAACTCATCCACATCAGAGACTTTGTATAAGGGGAGCACGTGGAGCTGCTCATCTTCAGGTGTTTGGCCAATTTCACGATTGTCTTCTCTAGTTAGTGTGCAAACCTGTCAGAAAGGAGTATTAGAGTAACTCTCCCAAACCAGTCTTACAGGTTGCCTGAAATGCTAGCCTGTGTGTTTTACCTTGCCCTGGCATTGTCAGCATCAGCATCTGGCAAATTACTTGTAAGCTTTCTTTTTGTGCAATTTACACATTATCACAAGAAGTCACCAATTTCATTTCTTCCATTGCTCTGTTGGTCAGCGTAAATAGAAACACAAAGTGTAAATCTCTATGTTTCTTTTACCTGTGCTGAAAGGAGCAGTTATAGATGCGTATCACCTAATCTGAAACAAACAGTGTGGTCCATAGCACCAGGAGCTAAAGCAGTGAAAACTGTGCTCAGATGAAGATTTTTTTTTTACTACAGTAGGTTAACTAGGTATCTTATTAGAGGTAGTGGGGCATATAACGTACTGCCATTGTGCTTCACGTTCCCTTAGGATGATTTGCAAAGCAGCAAGTCATGTTAATACTGCATAAAGATTTTGGGAAGTTAGCACCATGTATGTTGTAGCATGCTTATTGTGTTAGCTCCAGCTAAAATGGGTATTGGAGAATATCTCAGTGGAGAAAAAGATGCTGATACAGACATACTCTGCAGTAAAATAATGGAATCAGCCAATCTTCTGAAGAAAGCTCAGCTAAAAATACATATTCTGTTGGTGGTGGTTGATTTTTCAATTAAGTCAGACCCTGGAAACAGGGCAAATTTAGTTGGTATTAAAAGAAAGTGGATAATCTCTTTGGTAATAGGAGCTGTGCTGTGAATTACTTCAAATCACAACTGAAGATTATTCAGACCTGAAGTCTGTTTTTTCCTCATGTTTACTCTGGCTGTATGGTCACAGAGAGAGTATGGAGGGAACAGAAATCACCCAGTACGTATTGAAAAACAGCCAGTTTTTCTGTTATCATTAGTGGAACCTTTGCTGGAGTGCAGAATGGAAAAGTGTAAAATGAGCGTAAGACTTGCAGACTTTACCCTCATCCCAAGCAGGAATGAAATCCACAGCTTTGAAAAGTCTACTTAGAAGAAAGTTATGGAAAAAAAATCATTTGTTTCACAGTTTCATAGAATGGCAGGGGTTGGAAGGGATCTCTGGAGATCACTGCGTGCAACTTAGTGCTAAAGCAGCTTCCTTACAGCCGGTCGCCCAGGAAAGCGTCCAGGGAGATCTTGAATATTTCCAGAGGAGATTCCACAACCTCTCTGGGCAGCCTGTTCCACTGCTCTTTCACCCTCAAAGTAAAGAAGTTATTTTCTCATGTTCATGTGGAACTTCCTTTGTTCCAGTTTGTGCCTGTTGCCCCTTGTCCTACACCTGGGCACCACTGAAAAGAGCCTGGCCCCATCCACTTGACTCCTGCCCGTTAGATATTTGTAAGCATTTCTGAGTTCCAATCTGTCTTCTCCAGGCTGAATAGCCCCAGCCTTGCATGCGAGATGCTTCAGGCCCCCATTATCTTTGTGGTCCTCCACTGGGCTTTCTCCAGCAGTTCCCTGTTTTTCTTGAACTGGGGAGCCCAGAACTGGACACAGAATTGCAGATGTGGCCTCAGCAGAACAGAGCAGAGGGGAGGATCACCTCCCTCAACTTGCTGTCGACACTATTTTTTTTTTTTCATTTTAATGGAGTAGAAGATATAATCCAAAGTAGTTGGATTATAAAAAAAATTTAAAAAATCAAGATGACAAATATACAACATTTTGTCCCAGGAACACTGAAATAGGCATTTCAGCCCTGCTAGAGTCTTCTTTCCATTGTCTCCATGGTTTCTCTTTTACTGGTTCTACATTAAACCTTTCTTTAATACCTCATAAGTCTCATTCAGTTAAACGAAAAATGATGTAGGGGGTAATAAGATAGCTCAGTTAATGCTTGTAATGTTTCTTTTTTTAGCAATCTACTTTATGTAATTATAAATTTAAAGAGACTGAAGATAATGAATTAAATGTATGAAATTACTGCTGGGATAAGGAGGCTGTGTGCATTGCTGACTTACCAGTGTACTCCCATTCTGCATATTGTGCAAGTCTCTGTGAGCATGAGCGCAGAAGTCCAGGCAGGCGGTGACCCCTGAGAATGGGCGGCCTTCTTTTAAACCCAGGCGGCACTCAGGCGCTCTGTGTTCGTACTCGATCTGGGGAAAGATGACAGGTATCACCACAGCCTGCCCTGGCACCCCAATATGTGGACGTAGCAATGAACAACATGCCAGTCTGCTGACACCTCTGCAGTGGTGACGTACAGATCTCAGGCAAATAAGCAGTTGTGTGGTAATTTCATGTGGTGTCTACTTTGCTCCTTGCTGCTCGATCCCCTGCTCCAGACTGACTCTGCTGTGTTGCAAAATTGGCCAATAATACTTTTCCTTGCATATTACTTCTAATTCTCTGCCAGTGGTTTGTGTTTTTACATGACAAATACAGTGCACGGTTTTGGTGTATGGAACTGTAAGAGTGATACGTAGGTGTAGACTGGAAGTGTACCAAGCTATTACAAGAAAATTACTTGAGAAAACTGACTTTAGAATGACTTCAGGAAAAATAATAACTTGCTTTTCTATTTGTAATATTCTGTCTCACTGAAAGTAAATTTCATTAGTGTTAGTACAGTACTAAGCCCTGACCAAAAAGATAATGCAGTCAAGACAGTAATTTCTGTATGCTTACTCACTGTTACGAAGCTTTACAAAGATCTTATTATGCAACATTAAGTCTTAAGCAAAAGGAAAGGGCTTGGTAATCAAACATCAAGTCTTACAGATGACCATTTCGTATCTTATTTAGTGAATAAAAAATGAAGCTCAGTTTGTAAAATGCTTTGCTGAAATTTCTGAGCCTTTCGAGTACAAAAGAACTACACTTGATGGATCCTATTTTGACGAGAAATTAGAAATTTTGCCAAGCCTTGATCCAAGTTTGTTAAATAGATGTCCAGTTCGCTCACAGCAATTTTGTTTTTAGTATTTGGAATGTTCCCTTCATAAGCATATTGTTGCAAAGGCTCTATGAGACGTTCTGCTGGGTCCAGTTGGAAAAAATTTACCAATTCTAGATTTTAATCCAAGCCATAATCCAGACTGGGGTGAGAACAAATTTGGCAATTCTAATTAGCATTAAGGCCATTTAGTTTTCACCACCTTTCACTACAACTGGAGTGCAATACAACTTAGGCCTTTATCATCTCTCTTACAGTATCTTCATTTTGGCTTTCCCAAAAACTTAACGCTTATACGGAACTCCTGAGATGGGCCAGGCCATGCATGTTACTTCTTATCTAAGGTAAAAGTTGAAACTTGTAAAAGCATGTATTGTAAACTAGTGTCAAGCATAACCATGGTTTAAATGAAGAAAAATTTTCTAGAGAACTTTTATGGGAAAATAAAGCAGCCCAAGCAAAGAGGCATTTTATTTTTCACCAGCCCCTCATTTTTTCCTCTTCCTCCACCTTTCTTCTCTTGCAGAATGTCTCAGATGTTTGGAGAGATAACCACAGCTAGTGGGCACATGGCCACAATTTCCTCCATAATGAGTCTCCAAGCATTATCTGATCAGGTAAATGAAATAGCATCAGTCTGTACTAAACCTGCTTACCTTGTCTGATTGCTGTTAAAATATGCAGAAAATGAGTAATTGTAACTGCTAGTAAAAATGGACAGTTTTTTATAGCTTACTGCTTCCATTACAGCTGAAAATCTGTTCTGTGCTGATTGAGACAGCAAGTGTTTTGACTGGGCTTAACGTTTTCAGTGGAAAAGAAAGAAGGTGTCACAGTTTGCAATTATGCTGATAGCCTGGAGGCTGTACGTTTTGTGAATGTTTGTAATGGTAGTGAGCCTGAACAATGGAAATGAAGGCCACCCGTTACCCATTTCAAAGGCTCTGTTGTCAAATTTTGGTGCAAATATCTGGAAGATGTTTGGTTAAGGAATGGAGGTGGATGGCAACCACATCTGGGAACCTGGTACAGCTTTGACTGTGCTACCACCTATGTATGTGGCCCAACAGAACACTGCATAAAGTAGCCCCATGTGCGAGAATGCTGGTGCAGGCACTTGTGTGCATATGCAGGGCTGAGTGCATCCCATTAGGAAGCTTTGTTTTAAAAGCATATCTATAATAGCCACTTGAGAGAGCACACTTGAAGCTGGTTTCAGGACTCTATTGCAATATAATGCACTACCATCTGATGCTACAGCCAGCCTTGCACCATCTTTATGGCTGTTTTATGAGTTTGGCTGGTGAATCATTCTACATCGAGAAACTGTGTTGCAGAGCTCAAGATTTCTGTTCAGTAATCTTATTGCATTTACATAGGTGAAAAGATTAGCTGTAGTTAGTAGTTAAGATTCATTTGGTTTTACTTTTGAAAGCATTTCAAGAGGAACTGAGAATTTTTTTTGCTTCCGTTAGCCCAGTGTCAAAGGAATGCTGCTACAAAATGTACATACGTGGTTTGGCTCAAAGATGGAGCGCTGTAGGAAGTGTAGTAAAAGTCAGGTTGTGTGACTGCTTTGGTTCCCCTTTTCCCCATCGTACCTGGTTGTTATATGCATCAGGGGCAAGCTTCTTGTAGGTGGGTGCCATCAGGGTTGACAGATTCTGCAAGTGGGATTCTAGTTTTTCTTCCTGTTGGTAGATGAAATACAGCTCAATGACATTTCCATACTCTATGTACAGGACCTAAAACGTTAAGGTTTGTTACAGTGCAGTGATAGATGTGTAAAGGCCTAGGCCATTGTCACTGTGGTTTAGACAATATCATGAATCTCCTTTTTAATTATATTGTTTCACAGCCTTGAAAGCAGCATGCTAGTAGTGCAGTGTCATCTTTGCAAGAGGACATCACATACTATAATCTTACTTTGGTTTACATTAAAAAGAATCGCATTCTTCAACATGAAGATGTTTTAGGTCCAAACGTGATGATCCTCATTGTTTTCTCTACTGGAGTTTTGGGAAAATAATACTCTTTAGAAAACTTGAGATAAATAATGTCTGAATGCTCCATCAAGTTAATCTACCTAATTTAAGGGATTTGCACCCTGTGATAACAGTACTTCAACACATTTAAATTATCTTTTTATGCAACAATCTAAAATTATTGTGATGTTTCAGACTTCAAAAGTTTCCAATCCTTAAGCAATCCCAAGTTGTGGATGCGTCTAGCAGTCAGTGCTGTGGAGGAGGAATGATCATGTTCCTCTCTGTTAGGAAAGGTACACGCTTTCAAAATGAAGGGCCTTTTAAAAATGCTCTACTCCAGTAGCAAATTCCAGAGTTGCTCTCCATTCTATCCGGAGGAGGATCCTGAGTTCAACTACCTCATTCGTGAGGCTGTGATTTTTCATTTCAATCTCGTAAAGAATAGTGGCATAATGGAGTGGTGTACTCACTTTTAGGAGTTTGTATTTCTCATCAACGTGAGAAGAGCTGTGAAAAACCTATGGCTTTGTCAGAGAGACACATTCAGTGCTTTAAAATTTAGTATCTCCTCATAAAACTGGAATTTGGGACTCCAAAATGACACTGTAAAATCATCAACGATATCTTGTTGTGACCTTGTGGTTGCTGCCAAAACTTGGAGCATCTGTATAGTAGGAAGGTTACCATTTTTAAGTGTAGTTTCAAGTTTTTGTTGGTGAGGATACTATTTGTGTCATCTATATTGTCTGTAAACAGTGTCTATGCTGCAGGACTCAGCACTCGGTCTGGATGCATGCCTTGACTGCCTCTGACTTTGGGGCCAAGATTAGAGGGCAAAACTGTCTTTTCTGCCCAGTATTGGCTAGCATGGGAAGTAAATCCAGGAATACAAGTTGGAAGAGTGCCCTGGTGGGCTCTGGCCAGGTATCCAGCTTAGAAAATGTAGGGGGTTTAGGATTGCAGGCTATGATAAAGCTTTGTGCCACAGTGTGACTGAAGGAGAACTATTTTATCATTCTTGGGGAGATAGGGGACAGGAGGAAGGAAAAGGTAAATGTAATTATGATATTGTCAGCTCAGGCCATAGGATGCAAACATGCCTGACTGATCACGTACAAGAAAATGCTTGGGTTTACATAAGATGCCAGAATAGAGTGAAAGCTGCGGACCTATGCATCAGTTTATGAGCAGCAGTCCAAGAACTAGATTTGCACAGGCTAAGGTCAATATTGTTTTACTCTGACTCATTTTAAACAGTTGCCTGTTTGCTCTAACACAGAGCCCTGTCTGGAAACTATCAGAGGGGCAGGGCTGTATGTAGTCTTCCTACCCTCTTACTCCTATTGTAATTTCAGAGTTTCATCATATTAGCCTCCATGCGATCTGCTCTGGTTTCCAGTTGCAACTTTATATGCCTTCAGTTAGTAACCCTTCTGCTCTGCCACTAGGGAATGCCCACGGTTATTCAGGCCATGCCCTTTCTTCTAATTGTGAAAGCTTGCAAACATGGTTTCAAGTCTCAGGGCTTTTACCAGCTGTCAGAATCTCGACAGTCAATTCAGCTGGCTCAGTGATGGGAATCAATCAGTTTTGCTGGCAGTTGTTTAATTACCCTACATGTATGCAGTTCAAGCAGGGCTCTGGCCCTTGGCCTCTCGTAATGTATCTCTTATTTGCAGAGCAACAGAAAGCATTTCATTGCAAATGAGGCGTTTTCATTTTAGAAATGGACACCAACCTCTTTAGGATCATCCCCCATCAGCTTAAACTTTCTTGGAATCTTGCTTCTGGCAAACTTACAACCATTGTAGTACATGCTCCAGGAGCAACCAAAGGAAAATGAAGCACCACAAGTTTCAGGGTCCAGCCCTTGGCATGCACAAGTCCGTCTAAAGAAGAAGAGAATATGGCTGTTAGCAGGAGGCAGGTCAGTTCTGCCAGTGCCGTGGGGGATCACTGGCCTTGGATCTTCTTCCACCCATAAATAATGAAGAAATGAAAGAGACGCACACGCTACAACAGGGGAATTCATCACAATGAGTAATTTCACGGTTGCAAAGCAAAGACTATGAGTTTTATATACTTATGTGAGAAACCTGGATTTGTGCAAAAGAGGGGATGTTTGTGTGGTGCCCTAACAGATACTGGTATCAACGGTACCTCAAAGGAGTATATGCTGATGGCACTGCAAGGCTGCAGTGCTCTCTGACGAGGGTTTGGCAAAAGACTCCTGAAACATGGCTGTACCTATGCAGCCAAAGTAAGCAAAATACAGTGGTAACTAGGTTATTTTAATCTATGTGTTCTTCACTGTCAGAAAGACATAGAAAAAGTGCTATTACTTTGGGTTAAGGCTAGCTTCTGTAAGCGTTATCATATGATTTAATGCATCTAGTTTTCATTTCAAGGCAGAACTATCTGCTTTCTTGGGTGCAGCCGAGATCTTCCTTTAAATCATTTTTCTTCCTTTAAACACACTGAGAAGCTTCACAAGTCTGAGATTTTTTTTTCCCTAATTTTTCAAAACATTTACTTTGCTTTTCTCTGAAGGCTTGTGGGTTTTCAGACTGCCTGAAATAGCTTGGCAGGTACGTGCATTTACGGTAAAGGAGCAAGCAGGGGTGCCAGCTCTGAGGCTGGAGGTGGGTTTGCAGGTCAGCGCGCACAGCCTTTGTGTCACTTACTCTTCGTTCAGGGCGCAGCGCCGGTTGGTGAGCGTGCCGTACTTCCTCAGAGTGTCGGTGAGTTCGGAATAGAGCTTGTCAGCCAGGCTGGTTGGGATTCCCTCCCAAACCAGGATGAGGATCACAATCACCGCCGTCTCACACGTGTGGCCCGCCCGCTCACGCACCAGGCAGAGCAGCTTTTCCTCCTGACTGCTTCTGCGGACTACCTGCATACACAGCAACACACGCCCCAGAGCCCCGACACAAACAAAGTGTTTCTTAGTGTGAGGAGTGAGAGAATAGGGAACCACAGCATTTGTGTGCGTGCAAGGTTACTTCTACTTCTCTCTTCCTCTTTGTTTCTGGTAACATACCCTATTTCCCACCTGTAGTATAAGCCAGGGCCACCCTTTCTGTTTAATGAATCTGACTCTGAGAGGGCAGCATGCAAAGCCACGGTGGTGGAAAACAGCTTTTCTGATTTAGCAGAAACATCCCCCTGGATTGGCACAGTGGTACAAGTGACCCAGTTTGATTAGAGGGTAAAAGAAAGCCGGGAGTGAGATGCCTACGTGTGCAGAGCTGCACTTAGGGCAGGAGGAAGAGACCAAACAGCCTGACGTGGGAGCTGTCTCTCTTTTCCTTCCTTACTTGAACAGCTAAACTTGTAATCCGCACCCAGTTGTGTGGCCTCGCCTGCCCCTACTACGTGGAAACATTACATCAATGAGAGGAAAGCAGCAGACACTGCTCAAAGGAAAGTGTTCCTGCTTCTCAGTGCTTGTGCCACTGCGGGTATTTCTATAAAGGTGCAGGCTGGCATGCATAAAGACTATAATCACAGATCAGTTTTTCCTCATCCTGTCTTTCCCTAGCCTACCCAAACCACTCAGTAATTTGTGCCAAAGCAAGACAGTGTTTGCTAAGAGGGTGTGCTAATGCCTCTTGAACTGGGAGCACATT